GTTTGATTAGCGTTTTTGATTTCGGAGTAAAATTGTATTCATAGTTTTTACTTATTGAATAGTTTAGAATAATTATTGGTATTGTTCGTAGAGGATTCGCTTTTTTAAATTGTGTTTAACTTTAATATTATACCCAAAATTGCATAGAAAAATTTTCATAAAATGCGCGATGTCACTTTATTGAGCTACTGGTCTAAACAAATGAATATTAAAAAAATAAAATCATATCTCCTATATAGTTCTTAGCGATTTCGAAATTTGAAATATCATTGATTAAATATAGAAAAAAAAAACTTTTTTGTTAATATAAACAGTTAACTTTATAAGTCTCCTACCTGTGATAATATTATTAAACAAAATACCAGAATAATTATTACTTAATAAGGAATAAATACAGATTTCTTAATTTTTAATGGACCATTTGGGCAACTATGGAATGATATGGAAATATATTAAAATGCTAATGTTTTTATTTGAATTTTTAAATTAAGAACCCTAACAATATTATTATACAGTCTCATTAAAATCACTGAAGCAATCAAAAAAACAAATGAGGTTTCTTTGTCTTTGCATTGATACAGAATTGAAACTGATTAAATAAGAAATTGGTACCTGCTGCATTCCTAGTAAAGGCTAGCTTTTATTATTTATTTCACACATACAATTTATCATTAAAGGTGTGTACATACAATACAATAGCGTAAAATTAAATAAATAACCTTTGAATAACAAATTACGTTTTTATACATAGATGTAAAAATACGCAATATAAAGATTAAAAAGTAACTGAAAACAAAAACTATTTAAAATTTCTAGAATTGGGTTTGAGCCAGACACCGACTTTAATGTATGAGTATGAGACAATTATTAATATTATATTTAGTACAACATTAGAATGCATATCAAAATCTTAAGGAGTTCGGTGCCGTGAGATAATAATTCAAAGTCAGCTGCATGCGAGTTGACTTTCCTACGAAATGTTCTGTATCCCTTAATATATACTAATATTAACCTGGCCGCATGCATTCCTTTTCCGTGTTCGGTTTCCTGATGAGGAATTCCGATTCGGAGACCCAAAGACACCTTTCATATAAATGCTGTACACTTTAACACTCAAACATTCGATTCATTTTAAGTTCGGAAAAAATCTGACATTCGTATGAAAGGAGCACGTTCGGGTGTCCAATTAGGAATTCCTAATCCGCACGCGGAAAACGTATATGTATATTTGATTTTTTGTTTACATCGAATAGGCACCGAGACTCCAAGAATAAAAGATCTACTTCCACCAAATGAATTAGTTTAAATTTATACAAATAAATAGTATACGTTTGAAATTAGGAATGAATTTGGAGAGAATAACTTTTTTCGTGAAAGAAAAATATATTATCAAAAAGAAAATTAACATACTATCATAGATTTTCGGCACTCAATACTAGGCACTGTGTTTACCAAGAAATTTGAATAACGTATAAAATTCTACGTGTTTACATGGAGAGGTTTACCTAACAGGCACTATATGGTGGCATGCCAGTCACCTCCAGGCACAGACTTGTAGTTCTGCCGTACATACCATGTTGAATACACTGGTTGTCGTCCGATAGCGACAGCTTCAAACATTTGTCATTGTATAGACTAATAATTTTTACAGAACAGAAGTCATCTACGATATATAAAAAAAAAATTGCATCTCCAATCTACACACTTAATATTTTTAAATGGAGTGAAAGACATAAATATGAACGGGAAAACCTCGGAATCCTCATAGAAATATTGATTTTTATGAATCTCCTTGTTAAAAGCCTCAACCTAGAAGTTAACATTATTATATTTCTATGATCTTAATTATTTCATGCAAAAAATATTATTTTAATAACTCGGATACTTTTTTAAATTAAATTTTATTTAGTACTAAGTCTTTGCTCTGGCAGATCCTCTGCCAAATATGTGAGAAGCAAAATAGACTAAGGGAGACCGAAGAGCGGTAACCCAGTTACTGACCGAGCAGCATAGATTTTTATAGAAAAATAATGTAGATTCGGCCAAGCTTTTACTTTAAAAGTGCCATAGTATTGATTTTTAGTTAAGAGTGAGAGTCTTTCCTTCTTGGGGGTGCAAACTTTAAAATTGAAAGTAAATCCGGGAATGATACAGATTGACAAATTTATTGCTAATTATAATCAACTCTCTCCGATAAAGATTTTTCCGAAACTACTTATAAGCAAGTGAAAGTGCCATTTTTCAACTTTTCAGAAAATTTGTAGGTTAGAAAAAGGTACTTTATTTTTTAAATTGGTTTATATTTCTTTTTTCTGTAAAAACAAAATTAATTTGCAATTGTTCATAATAGTTACAAGCTACAAAATTGGTTTTAAAAACCTGATTTCTTAACTTAAATGGTAATTGAAGGTGCTTTTATAATCTTATTAATGTTGACTGGCTGAGTTATGATGCTAGAAGCTTTATAAAATAAAAATAAAAGCTTTTTCAGCACTTTTTTCCCCTGAAAAACTTGTTTTTTTATTACTTTACATTGAAAAATTATTACTACCATCTAAAATTATTACCTAATACGCGGGGCACACACGTATAGATTATAATTTACTCAGGCGAGGTCGCGGGGAAACAGCTTATTTGATAGAACTTGGTTCACAGTAAAATGAGAAATCGATAAACATACCTACTTTCATAAAAAATGTAGATACTCATTTAACATAAAAAATCCTCCTTTGGGATTTTAAATGAATTTAAAGTACGCAATCCTTTTTTTGGCTGATAAATATATCATCAAAATATTTTGGTGATATCTGATGAAGAGCGTAATTTATTTTGTTTCGATTTCGATAAAATTTAAACGGGACCTCCTCATTCCATTAAACTACTCCTTTTCGATTTTGAAGACGGTTAAAATATTAAAGAGCTTTCTAAAGGTTGATATTTTAGTGGAAGTACTGAGGGTATACATCACTCAGTACCCAGTGCAGAGATCAGGTGCTGGTACAATCCGCGCAAAAAAGAAGCTGTAGGTAGGTATCATTTTAATGCAGATGTTAGGTCAAGAATATATTGCTGCTTCAGCAAATAAATTGATACAAATGTGATGAATCGTTCACCATATGTATGTTAGCTTCATCAGGTTAAGATTTATCAGGTTTGTACATCGATTATACATACAATCTTGTGTTACCTTTAAACTGTGCTAAAATATGAAACAATTTTTTTTTAATAACAAATCCGTAACTCGTTCACTGGTATATTTTTGGACTATCTACAAAATGATAAATTTAACTGCAGCAAACTTTTGGAGGTCCTCTGGTACCTATTACTTATAGCCATAACTCGTACGTACGGAGTAGCTCGGTGGCGTAATGGATAAGCGCCGCGGCCCACGATCGTAGTCGTTAAGCAACTTTCGCAAGGGTCGGTCACGGGATGGGTGACCAAAAAATTATTATCTCGAGCTACTCCGTGCTTAGGAAGGCACGTTAAGCCGTTGGTCCCGGCTGCATTTGCAGTGGTTAATACCCTCCAATCCTCATTGGGCCAGCGTGGAGGATCATGGCCCATCCTCCTTAACCATCCATAAGGAAGGCCTGAGCCCCTGCAATGGGGACGTAAAAGGGCTGGTGATGATGATGATGATGATAACTCGTACGAATTAACAGGAACTCTGCTTTTTCTGTATTTTCTATGTATCTTCGATCGAAAATTCAGAAATTTTACGACTCGTTCTTACTTATAATTTTGTTGAAATACTATCCTCGAAGATTATCTGTCGAATTTATTAAAAACAAAATAGTGTTGTATGTATATACAAAATGTGTTGTAGATACAAAGAGGTTTGTACTATAAATTAAACAAATCGATTTATGTATTTATGTACGAATCGTATGTAAATACGATTAAAAATTGACAAATCTTTGATCATTGTATCATTGTATTCCCGGTATTGTTGTCTAGAGTCATTTGTGGAATTTTCTTTTTTCGAACAAGCCAGTTAATATGTAATTTTTTTTTGTAAAGTGATTTTTGTTTAGCAAATATTAGCACAGATATTTGCTAAACAAAACTAGAATAAAATTGTATTGCATAGCGGTAACATCGTATAACCTTAAGAAAATGTCTTCATCACCATAGTATAATTTAGCGTTGGAAACTGTTTTTTGGCTAATGAATAACCTATTTAACTTCCTCATTCGTGTGTAATATTAACAGCTGTTTGTTTCTTTTGATAAATACATAATGTCATAAAATATATTTTTATACTGTGTGTATAAATTATAAAAATATTTTTATCACTAACACTGTTGCCTTTAAAGTTTAATGAAACAAAGAAGTGTGATTCATTTCATTGGCAATTTAACAGAAATAATAAACCACACAAATTCTGAATCTTTTTGGTGTTTATAGCTTACCTACCGATTTTTATAACATGGGTAATTTCTTTTTGTATAAAGTACCTACTAGTGTTATGAAACGGGAGTAGGTAAGTTTGTAGAAATGAAAAATGAAATTTATTCGCTTTTTGTATTTAAAATTTATAGACGAACGGTATATGGTATATTTTTTCTTTACCAAGTAAATTCATCCCCTTGGAATAAGAACGTGACAATGTACCTACATGTAATTAAGTCACTCATAACTCATAACCATAACGTTTATTGCATTTACTCATGAATAATGCAAAATGTTTTTGTTATTGTCGTAGGTAGCATTATTACAATATTAGTGAAGAGAAACACGAGTGCCAAGTCAAGGTGACCCGTAAAAGGGGACTTCAATTCAATAGCTTGTAGCATACTCGTGAGGAGAGCGCTAACGAGTAGTGTGAATAGGGAGGGTGCCGTTCCCGCTCCCAATAAAAAGTAAGTGCTCTGTGAATGAACTCGAGGATTTGACGTATCGTTACAGCTACGTACGTAACGTAACTAACGTGCTCGTGCTCCCACCACAACGCACGCGCGGGGAGATGCGCGCGCTTATATTCAACAGCGCACCGCGCGACCACCAGTCAATCTGTAGACCTCCCACTGTCGCAATCGAAGCGTCGCGGCCGGCTTACCGCAATAACGATAATAACGCGCGAACTACCTCGCGCGTCTGACATTCAACGTTAAACAAGGTACGGTTTACAATAATAGATATTAAATTATGTTAGGGTATTGTAAAGAGCGGGAGTGTTCGACGCTAAACGAAATGTTTGTTGTGAGTCCGGGAGTGGAAATTACCGCCACGATCCCGCCACGTGCGTGGAGTGCACGCTCCACCACCCGCTGCAGCGAATTGCATCAGCACCGGCCAAAATATGTGCCATAAGCTCGCGATCTCCCTTGTGTCAGAATCATGCTTTGCGAAATTTATATGGATAACTCTGAACGGCCTTCCTGCAGTTGTCCAACTTATAAATATTCCCTTTGTTTCGTGTGGACGCTCACTCACTGTGATATTCACATTTTGAAAACAAAAAACTTATAATAAATCGCAGGTCTTTATTTTCATAGGAGATTTTTTTATTATTAAAGCTTTGTTTTCAAAAGACATTCATAATTCACAGACATTATTAAATAAATAAATAAAAAAACCAACGACATACTTTATCATGTTGTTATTTATAATAAAGACAACGTTTTTTCCAAGTACCTTGGCTATTACTTTGAAATACTTAATTATTGTTTGTATAATTCAGTAGCAATGAATGTCACGTAATTACTAGTGTATCGAACTTGTTTCGAATGTAACAACAGGAAATAATTACCTTTAGGGTTATTTGCGGGAACCTTTCGGTCTATTTCTTTACTTTTAAGTTTTAATAAGTACAGCTATTTTAATTCTGAATACATAGCGTAGACATAAGCAAGACCAGTTATAGTGCAGTAAGTGAATACTGTGCAATCTTTGTTGCATCATGAATAGCCCAAATGCACAAATAATAATTTGAAAGGAATGTAGCCACAATTTTTATTAAAATTTACATTATATAAAGCAATAAAATTTTAAGATTGCGATTTTCTAGGAAGCTAATATGAACAGACAATAAACCATAGATAAATTTTATTATTATAACTTGAAAAGAGTTCAAGTGACCTAGTGTTGCGTCAACAAACAAGTTTTGATCGCATCTTCAACATGTAGGTACCTCAATAATCTTCTAAACATAACATAACAATTGGCAATATTACATGGCTTTGCTTTAAAATAACACCTATAAATATATATTAAAAATTCAACAGCTATTAACTCAAATTTTGGACACAACATAGGATACGCTCATTGTTGATTGATATTTTTTATTGTTAGTGAGAATTTAATAAATCCATTTGGCATTAATTTTCTTTTTTCGTTCTTCCAAATACAAAGCAGATGGTATAAATGACATTATATCAGGTTTAAGAACTCAATTGGTTTTTGACTGAAGTAAATCAATAATTATTCTAAATTAGTTAAAAAAGACGCAGTTTCTTTTATCACGATTATTTGCCGTGTTGATTTATCATTATCAAGAACAAAGAGATGATATTTTGCTTTGGTATAATCTAAATAAATTTAGTCAATTAATAAAATATTCTCGTATTTACATGATTGCCGAAGAAACTTTATTATGATAAAATAAGTACTAACAGAAAATTGTGGCATATTTTTTTTATTATTATGTTGTCACTAATATATATGAAACCGATTATTTTCTTATCAAGCTTTGTCAATATAGATCGTTGCTCCGTAGGTACGAAAGTGTAATAACAGTGGGGAAAGTTATTAAAATAAGTGCGTACTTTTGTTATAAATCCATTATATCTATAGTGGAACATTTTTCTTGAAATGGGTCGCTGTCTAAAGTGATATGAGAAGTTCAATAACACTGACGTTCCTGCCCTCACTCTTTTAAAAATAAAAATAAACATACAATGATTCATCCAATCACGTCACGGACGTACAAAGGCAACACGGTACCTAATCTAAAGTCAATATTAACAGCGGAGGATTTTCTCAATGAACTACAAGAACTATTTATATGAACAGTCTAAAAATGGCTTAACGCTAGTGAGATTAGAAGAGGGGCTTAAGATGCAGCGTAACTTTAAAATCACTTACTTCTATTTGGTTTTGTACAAAGAAACAATGTATATATATACATAAAATATCTAAACGGTTTTGTCACGGGTAAAACCGTGAATTGATAATTTTTCTATAAGAAAAATGACGAAGTTATCTCGAAAATTAATATAATCTTTTTATAGGAATAATTAAAATACTATACGTACTTTTTATCTGAGAGCCTAATAATTGTTTTAGGCGCGCAATACGTATCTGTCCCTATAACTCCGTCCCGTTTTCTCCTTTGTCTTTACACCTCGACTTAAACTTGTACCTGACCACTAACCCAAAAACTGGGTCACGATTACGCTTGTTCTTGTCAGGATTTTGTATTAAATATTTATAAAACTGTTGAGGGAATGTTTGAGAAATTAATTTGGTTTTAATTCCTAAGCGTTCATTATTACCGAGGATATTTGTTTGTAGGCTACTTTATGATAGTGTTGTAACTGATAAAAACTGCTATCACCTTTAAAATGGCTCCGGTACGCTTTGTGAATATTGTCAAGGCAAATTTTTTCAACATTTCTCTCCATCCATTTCGTCTGATTCGTTATCAATCTATATTAAATGGCCTCAACATTCTAATGCAGGTATAGAAACTCTTTTAACTATAATCTAATTCATGATGATTTTTATATTATTCATGATGTAAATTTCAGGTAATTTTATGGAAGTGTTTATTTATTTCTCATTTTTTGCCAGAAACTTTTCAATTTTTCCTCATGTTAGTCCAGATATATATTCCAGATATATATTTAGTCAACATGTGTGCCAAGCTTTATTAGATTATGTATTTATTAATAAATTTATGGAGGAAATTTTTATCTATTTGTTTAATAAATAAACAGTTTAGTTAAAATAAAAATCATCCGCACAAACATATAAACTATTAGTACAGTGGTTTCTGTTTGTTTCTGAATAAATACACATATATCTAACGTCCATATTAAATGGATAATGTCTATAGGTTAAATCAATACAATTAGTTAAGAATAACTTTTTTTCATTATCTTTTTAATTGACCGATGTTTAAACCTTTACGCATGGTACTAGTTGTCACCGGCTCGTATACTGATTTTATAATGACATTGATATTCCTATCTGTAATCTGGGATGGGTTGGTCAATAGTGACAAAAAATAAACCGACAACTGGGTGCGTATTTTGAATTCTCGATACTCGCTCAGTTAGACAAAAAAAATTGAATAGGAATAATAATTTAATCTATTGATTGGTTCGTAGACGAAAGTTAACTTTGATTAAATGGCCAAAGGCTAAATCAGTTTCTCAATCTCTTTAAGGTTGGACTGGCGTTTTTACATAGCAATTGTACTAAAAAAATTCATAATCATGTAGTTCCAAAACTAAAAATTGATTCTCCAAATGAATTAACACTAATTTGTGTAATTTGATGAAATTAGGTGTACCTTAGTATTCTAAGATTAAATTAACATGTAGGCTACTTTTTATTCTACTAAAGGGATAAATGTATTGTCAAGTCATCACGTAACAGGAGAAACCGCTGGCTAAAACCTAGTACCTTATACTAGTTTTTACCCGAGACTTCATGCTATATTTTCTTTCATTTATGAATTTCCATACAAACTTCGCAACAAAAAATAACGTATGTACTTTGACCTTTCCCAAAGTCTATTAAATTATACAACAACAGTAAAATACTGAGTTACTTTCATATTTATTATATTAGCATAAATTTCTATGAACGTTTTTATTTAACAAAACAATTCTGGCACAGCCTAAACAACATTTCATTCCTTTCCTGGCACCATGATCATTAAATTCAAATAGTTTAATCATTAAATAATGTGTTATAATTAAGTAATTTGAACTGTCTGATAAATACTGTCAGAGAATTATAGTTATTTAATTATTTTGGACGTTTGAGTTTAATAACCTCACCTCTAAACCAATTAATTTTATATGTATTTATTTACTCAAATGTCCAAAAAAATGTGTATCACGTTTAACTAAGAATCTATGTGGATTATAGGTATGTGAGTAAGTATCTTTATTCCACCATAACTTTTGAACGAATGTCCCAATTTTCTATTTTTACTTTACTAAGAATACCTTATTCGTAGATTTATATTCTAAATATATTTAGCGCAGACATGTGCATGCTAATGGCGTAATAGCTACCTCATCCGCTCACCCAGTTATTGCTAAAATGTCGGTAGAACGCGATTACATACGTAATTATCACATTTTTAAACGTTCACGGTCAATCGCGTTAGTGTCATTATTGGATGCTTATGCAGTCAACTTCATATGTATTGACAAATGAGATAAATATAACCTTCTTTGGTTTTTCTCGAACTCATCAAATTCTCAATAAACATTTTTCATTTTCAAAAAACTAGATAAGTGTCTAATTTCTTTAACTTAAGATTCCATTATATTAAATATGTCGTCTTTAAATTCCAAGGTACGATCGGAATCGTTTTTAATTTCCTTAAATACTTAGGTATTATTTATTGTTAATTATGGCAAAATTCGTGAATTAATTAAGCATTTATTTATTTGTTAAAAAGAATTAAAGATAACAGTGCACGCTTTCCGATGTTTGTACAGATGCTTGAATAAAAATAATTTATGAATCAAGTTCATAAACTATGAAAGCACCGAAAATACTCTGATTATAAATACTCGTACTTTTGTTCTCTATCATACCATGGTTTCTTAGAGTAAAACATAAGTCCTGGTGTATAAATAATAAGTTGTAAATTGCAAAAATATTACACTGAAGGTTGTATTGTGATTATGTTATATTAAAAAATCCTCAAAGAATTAAGATGTTTTCAATGAGCATTTGATGAGCATACTAAATTTTTAAATTATCTATTCATCCTTCAATGACTTTCTGTTATAACTTATTATAAAAACCAAGTTTTCCTTTTTCGGTATCTACTGTTGTAATATAAAAACCTAATAAGACAAAAATGTCCCATTTTTGTGATACTTTTAGTATAGATAGAAATTGTTTGTTTATTTTTTCAATAAATAGTTA